GATCTTTTTAATATTCATATTTTAAAGTGCTTTTAACTTAGGCTAAATGTTAGTATTTAATATAAGTCCATGTATGAGATGCCATATGCTAAATAAATAAATTTATGTTAACTTTTAATAAAAAATATAAACACTCTCTTGAATTGCCTCTTGGCAGTATGATGGAATTAGCTTGTCATTGCTTTCTTTCAGGGTGTTTTTTGTCTTCCAAATCTAGCCTATAGCCCTGGAATTTTCTGGTGGTCTCCTATCCAATACCAATCAAATCTGACCTCCTTAGCTTTTTCCAGAATCAGATGATTGGCTAGGTGATGCTATCTGCTATGATTAACTCATAATAGAAGACAGGAATTAAACTCTGGAAGAGTTTTGCATATTCAGGTGGTGTCCAATCTGTTCATCTACCAAGCGCCTCCAAACAGATCTGTACTCTACCATATGCAGGGACTCTAAAGATTTGGATTGAACAGAATATGATGGTGCTGCTGGTCTAGCTTAAACAAGCCTGCTTCAGTCTTACCAAAATGACCTTCTTTTATCAAATTCAGCGATGCTAAACAGTGCTAAACAGAGCTAAACAGATGCTGGCTGTTTTTTATATCTTCATTACGTGCCCTCCAGCAATACTGAGTTATCAAGAAATTGTACTCAGTTTTACAAGTAAAGTTCAAACACAATGTACTGTTACTGATTACAACTTTTTATTCTCTAATTGTACAAAACTACTGACCAGTGGTAGAACTTTAAATTTACAAATGGACTTCTAAACAAATTTTTGAACTCAGTTATATAATTATCCATGAAACACAAGTTCAGTACTTTCAAAGGATTACATTTCCTTCATCACACTGCATGCAGCATGATTTGCAAAGAGAACAGTGTAATAATAATAATAATAATAATAATAATAATAATAATAATATTTTACATGATATGCAAAAACAGGAAACTTACAGAAATAGGAGTTTCCTACATACATACATACGAGTAAATGTATTCACATTTTTTCATTACATATATTATATGCATTGGACTAAACACTGGTCCTTAACATACAATGGCCTATTTTCAGTTAAAAATGTGTAGCAGTATAAAAATTCAAACAGAGCATTAAAATAAAAATGGCAATAGAATTAAAAACGCTAATAAGTTTATTCAGTTCAGAAACTAGAAAAAAAAAGATTTCAAGAATAGCAGAAGGCTACTCATTTAAATAGCCAATATTTAAATCCATTAAACAAGTGGATTCTTAATATATGCAAGGAAATTATTAGAACAGGACTTTTCCACATATTTCATGTTTTTATTTTCATCCTCAGTCATTTTGCTCAGAAATCACACACTTTGTTAAAATAAAAGTGAAGCTGGTTGTCAGTGATGTTAGAATTTTATTATGGCTATTTTTGCAATATCAACAAACAACATTGCAGTTTCATTGTACAAGAACGTTTACTCCAATATTGGGTCCTTTGTAGTTATCAAAAGAAAAAAAAACTGATGTATTTTTCTGTAATTATACATCCTTTTACATTTCTCCCCCAAATATTGAAAGATATGGTACAACCTTGAAAGTATACTTACATATACATACCTCATTGCTGTGCGAACTCCATCAAGGCACTGTAACAATACTCAAGTATCTGATCGCCCACTCTCAAAAGATGCCAAGAAATTGAGGAAAGAGAAGAAACACAGTAATCACTTAGTTCACAGTTAGGCATCCTATATATATTAGGATTAAAAACCATAACGAAGAAACATCCATCAAGACAAACAACAACATCATGGTAAATAAAACAATTTTAACTCTCATCCCATTTAATGAATGTTGAGTTGGCAAGAAGATCTTCCTGAAGGCACAGGAGGGTAGTGAGTTGTAAAATCATTTAATATATTTTACAGATTAGCTGTCAAAAGGAACTTTTTTATGAAAAGTGAGTATGCTGTACTCTTAAGTGATAACTAAAAGTTAAAAAGCAGCCCAACATAGGATACAAGAATCATGTATTGCCAGGAGTCTATTTACTATTTTACACAACACATTTCATTTTAGTTATATTAATGATTACATGGTATATTTAAAGGCTTATAGTGCATTTCTTTTAAACAAACACACAAACATGTCAACACACAATTCTGATTATTTTCTATTTTAAGTATTAAATGTTATCAAGGAAACCGTTGCCCTTAGAACTCTACAAACGGTGGTCAGAGTTTCCTTATTACTATGTGCAGAAAAAAAGTCTAAATGAAAGAACGTAGACTTGTATTCATAAAGCTAAATATTGTACAGAAACATCTTATCAACTAGGCTCATAATCAGACATATCATACAAAACATGGTTAGGCAATAGATTCCTTAGTTCACACAAGGAACTTATATGAAGGTGCAACATAAAACAAGCTTTTGAGCTGTGCTTGACACAGGAGTGCTTTGGACTCCTGTAATATGAACAATGTAACTGAAAATGTAACTGGTTTGGGAGTCTCATAAAAGGAATAAGAAATGTTTAAAAGAAAGCAACTGAACAAATACATTTTCTAGACATATCCACAGGGATTTAGATATCAACAGATAGAAATAGATGTAATATGGTATTTATATTAGGAGGCATTGTCAAAACAGTGAAAACCAAATAAATCTAACGGTTACAATCACTGATCATTTACATACAGATAGCTAGTTGCTCCAAATGCATACAAATAAATGTAAGTCAGAACATATGTTTTTGTACTTTATTTATGCTATACTTTTTCAACTCATATACATCTGTAACAGGCATTTCGATCAATTTATAAAGCATCTGAATCATGGCTGTAATCAACCAGTTCACTCCAATGGTAATACATTTCTCTTTCTAAACTGTAGCACTTTTAAAACATAATAATTTATTGAGTTTATTTAAGGCAGACAGGGGAAAACTGGAAGGTTGGCCACAGCTACCTTCTTCATTCTGATATTCTCAGAAAATGTTCCGAAAATAACTCCCACGTGTTATAAGACTCCATGTTGAAATATTCCAACATCTTTAAAATGGTTAGATTTTGGATGGGAGTATTAGAGATATACAACTAATCTGAAAGGTGATTCTGAAATAAAATCCCCTTCTTTTCTTTAGTAATTTTCAGCTATGTAAAAACAAAGATAAATCTATGTATCCTAAAACCATTTGAATCCCAAATTGACCAAATGTAAATTATGTATCTCTAAATGAAAGATTTAGAATTGCTATAAAATATATAAATCATGCAGGATGTATGCTTCTTGCTGCTCTGTATATTGACACACATCTTAAATTAACACTATGTAACATATAAAAAACAGAATAGCAAGACTAATGTGACTGTAATTTGATCTATCTTTTGAAATTTAATGCAGCCCAATCCAGATTTGGTGAATTTACTTACAGAGACTCAGTATAATAACTCTGTATTTTAGTATAAAGAAAGCAAGGGTAAATGTACTAGTTTCTGAGGCATTTAAAAGCAATTAGAAACTGAGTAGCAGTTGAACCTTCCAGAGTCTTGAAACTATATTCCTGAAACTATAACGTTGTTACCCAAAGGTTTATTTTTGCAGTATAAATATTCAGATGGAGTTGTGTCCACACTGTGTAACCTGAACTGATGAACCCAATATTAATATAGTTTTTAAAATACAGATAGGATCTCATAAGTCAATCATAAGAATTTATCTAACGTAATACAGCTTCCCTTTTTTATACTATCTAAACAGTACATTTTCTATTCCTCTGCATCTCATCATTGACATCCCTAAAATTAAATAAGTAGTAACAATCAATATGAGTTTCTATTTGGGAAGAAATGAGTCAAAATACTGCTTGGCACAAAAGCTGTTTACTTCTCTGGACAGCTGACATGTTTTTTCCTCTTAAACGAATACTATTAGCAAAGATCCACTGTTATAAACTAAGGAAAAAAAACCCTCATTAACTATCCCTGAAAATTGTAGAGTTAATGAAATGTTGATGACTAATAGCTCATATGTCTTAATGACAATGAACAGCTGAGTAGTTTCATTTTTCTGCAATTATTGAATTTTCTGAATTAATATCCCTTGGTATTATTTTCTTATTGAAGTAAGATTGATTAAACTTAGGAAGAAAAATCTTAGGTCAAAATTTACTTCTTTTGCTAGCATGTTCAATAGGGATTGATTATAGCAAAAAAAAAGTCCTCAAATTCCAAACTGGTATATTCTATACTGGTATTTATAATTGTAGTTTATGACACTTTAGAACATGCAAGGCAGTTATCCAGCATTTGGAAGATGTGAAGAGGAAGGTACTGGCACGTAAGCATTGTCCACGTCATCTGGCTAGGATGGAATATAATAAACTATTCCATATGAGCCCAATCTTTTGAGGCAAATGTCTGAATCTTCTGGGCCCTTAGATAATATTGCCTTATTTGAAGCCAAACCAAGCTTAAAAGATGGTCCCATGAAGACCATAATAATTCCATTTCATAAATATTCTTCTGTCCAGATATTCTATTTGAATAAGTAATTGATTATAAGTTGCAGAAGAACCATCAGCATGATGAAGACATAGTGCTTGAACTGAAAGAAGTTATCTGGAGTTGGTGAACCTGAAGTCATTCGTGTTCTTAACGCTGTAATGTCCCTATTTAAAATAAATAAATAAATTTAGTTAAATCCACAGATTGCCAATTCTGAAGTAAGCAGACCCATCAAAAATCTGAAAAAGTTATTAGATAGATAGCTGGTATGATTTCACAACAATGATTTCTACAGCTGGATAATATATTGGGAACCTTAAAATGCTAAGTCCTCAAGGAAGTTAATTAGTGGGAAATTTCTGGTACGAAATTATACTAGCATGTTATATAGTTGATAAGGATAAATGTAAAGTAAGAAGAGGGTGATCGGATAGTGGAAGACTGAAAAGAATTATGATGCATTGTTGAAGCATTGCTCCTATACATTTCAAAAGAATTGTGTAAAAAAAACATACTGGACTGATTGCTTATTTAGAAGACTAGCCAGTCTGTCCCGTCTTTTAATTGTAGTATTTACTACATTTTAAAATCATATTCATGCAATACTTCTCTCCATGTATTCAACCAATTTTTTTTAAATCCATCTCTGAATTAATTTTTAACCCATTGCTTGTTTTCCTTCCAATAATTTACGTTTTAGTATCAAAGACATACAGTCACATTAAGAAACACATGAATAGATGACAGTGCATATCTTGACACTCAATTCCAAGTCACTTAAATGGGCTTGACATTTACCCCACAAGAGGATCAAATTTTAAATATGTAATTACATAAATATTAAATATATTAAAGGTAACATAGAAATAAATATAGCCAATAAGTTACTATGGGCTTTTTATTTCCTATAAATCCACAAATTCATTGAAGCCTTGCTAATCAGCATCATAATTGTGAGGGTTTGATGAATGGATATTCACTTCACCTATCAGAAAATTCAATAAGCATTCTGGAAGGCTGTCTGGCCTGGATTCCAGAAATAGCCCACCACACCCTTTGTCAGTCCAAGTGTACTCCATTCTGACATGGTCCCCAGATCAGAAGCAAATTCAGATTAAAAAAAGAGATTCTCTCCTATTAGTTAGCATGGGAAAATTTAAATAACTAAATTGCTGTAATGTTTTGTTGTTTTTCATTAGAGCAGGATAAACATTTCAAGTACATTAAACCATTTTGGAGGGATGAAATACACCAAATGTCAGAGAAGCCAGTGAATACTGATCCAGTATGTTGAATAAAGGCTTGACAAGCACACCAATGGTATCTGCTGGGGAATGTGTGTGTGTCAAAACAGCTAAGATAGTGTAGCAGCAGTGTGATCAAAGCCCTGCTCCTTTCTACACATGCAAACATACTAAAGAGGAAGAGCTTGGATCAAGATCCCCAATCTTTAGAAGCGGGCACCACTGCAGTACAGGTAATGATTGTTTAACAAGGAACTCTTTATCTATTAACACGACTTCAGTGAAGTTCAGATCACAGTGCAGATCACAGTATTGTAAAATTATGGATAGTCTAAAGCAGTTGCACGATGAGATATTTGATAAGGGAATTTTATCAGTGGCCTTTAATCAGGCTGATATTACAGTTTTACCAAAAGCAGGTAAAGATCACACTCAGTGTGCTAATTATGTCCGATCTCATTGATTAATGTTGATACAAAGATATTAACAGCAGTGTTAGCAAATAGATTACAGCAAGTGACATTGTTTATTATTAAAAATGATCCAGCAGGCAAGCAGCAGATAACATTAAGTTAGTTGTAGATTTAACAGACTTGAATAAAGATAAAGATCAATCTGTAATTTTATCATTAGATGCTGAAAAAGCCTTTGACAGAATATATAAACAATACATGTTTGCTGTATTAAACAGGTTTGGATTCCCTTTGGAATTCATAAAATGGATCAAGGTATTATATGAGTTGCCATCATCGAAAGTAAAGGTTAATGGCATGTTTTCTGCTACTTTCTCACTATTTAGAGGAACTAGACAAGGATGTCCACTTTCACCCTTGCTTTTTAATAGCTGCATGGAACTCTTGGCTTATGCTATTAGGAAACATAGGGAGATCTACAGAGTGGTACATAACTCAGTTGAACACAAATTGATTTTATTTGCAGACAGCATTATTTTGTTTATTTCTAAACCTCACACTATTATTCCAGTGTTGATGCAAATAACAGATGCCTTAGTAAATAGTAAAATAGCAGGATACCCTATTAACTGGTCCAAATTGGAATTGATGCCAATAGGTGAAAATGTAGTTACCCATTCATTTAAGGAATATCAATTCTGTATTTGTACCAAATCCATTAAATATTTAGGAATGTGTATACCAAAGGATATAACTCAGTTAGTACCATGTAATATAAATAAAAAATATATAAGTTTCTTCAGATACCAATAGATGGGAGTCATAAAACCTCACCCTTTAAGGAAAGGTGAATGCTCTCAAAGTGAATATTATTCCCAGATTAATTTATATTCTGAGAGGAATTCCAGTTCATATATCTGGAAAATATTTTCCAAAAATAAATTCTTTGTTTAGAACATTTCTAAGGGGTTTGGGAGTCATAAAACCTCACCCTTTAAGGAAAGGTGAATGCTCTCAAAGTGAATATTATTCCCAGATTAATTTATATTCTGAGAGGAATTCCAGTTCATATATCTGGAAAATATTTTCCAAAAATAAATTCTTTGTTTAGAACATTTCTAAGGGGTTCTTCAATTCCGAGCATATCTTTACAGAAAATGCAATTACCAATTAATGAGGGAGGATTTGGTCTTCCAAATCTGGAGCTGTATCATCATGCTTACCTATTGTCATGTATTAAATACTGGAAACCAACAATTGGTGTTAATTTTCCAATTTGGGCAACTTTGGCATATACATATATAGCACCTTTGGTTGGATGGACAGTGCTAAGGTCTAAGTACACTAAAACTCTAGTATCTCTGGAAACAATGATGTCAGTTAGAAAGTTATGGAATGTAATGTGGCTGTCAGTAAATGTGGAAATGAAACAGTAGTCAGCAGACTGGAAAAGTTCAAAGAAATATCAAACAGAGGTAACAGAATGAGCAAACTATTGCACAATCTCTCTAATTTCACATGCTAGC